AGGCATTCAAAGCTCTAAGCCTCAACCCATCCTCCATCCAGACCTTGAAGACTGAACTGTCAGGTATGGCCGCCCAATTCTCTGCCGACTTCATCTCTGCAGGGTACACGGATTACTCCTCTCTCAAAGACGAAATCAAGCAGATGTTTTCCTCTGCGGTAACATACGGTATTGATACCAAGTCCTCAAGGGCCAACATCAATCACCTTGCTACCCGCAGAGAGATTGATGCCATGGTTGAAGCTCTGGGTAATCTCATGTGCAAGCATACAGACCGTATTCTCAAAGAGGCTCGTACCTCCAATACAGTGATCAGAGACTGCACATCACAACTCGTGAAAGAGGGTGACCTCCTCAGAAGCGAGATCTACAGAAGCGTCAAACTGAAGTGGTCAACAGAGATAGACATCAATCACGCCTCTGAGCTAGCAAGTGAGGCAATAAAGAAGATGAAGAAGGCGGCCACCAAAAWTTTGCAGAGGTTGGAGAAGGCTCCCCTGGATACATGCAAGGCAGAAGCCAAAAAGAACCATGACGATCAAGATGGTGATGATCATGATCATCATGAAGGGGAGAAGAAGGATGAGAAGAAAGCACCAGAGCCAAAGAAGACCCCTGCCAGAGGCGTCAAGATTGTGGACTCTACAGCTGCCTTGTTCTCTAAAGGCAAGGAAAAGGCTCCAGAGCCCAAAGGCAAAGGTAAAGGTAAAGGCAAAGCTGTAGAGTCACCACAGAAGGGGTCGTCGTCTAGCAAAGAGACTCCACAAGAAATAAATGAAGAGGAATACAGAAACGACCCTGCACTCCTTGAAGCTTTAAAGGCATCTCTGGCAGAGGCTCTAGCAAGGAAAGACAGAGGCCCCATCCCTCGCAGAGAAGGAGAAGGCTCTTCATCACAGCTCCCACCAGTCCAAGAAACGTCCACGGATACGTTTGACGCTCTGCAAGGAACCGTCAAACCCATCCTTGCAGAGGGGTCAACCCAGAGGCCAATTCTGGAAGAAGAAGAAGCCAAGGTGCCAGAGTCCGCCATGGTAGGAAGGGTGTCTGAAATATTCGAATCTATGAGCAAGATTCCRATGCCAAAAGTCAGAATAGAGCCCGTTACTACTTTGGAAGAAATTCAAGTGTGGAGGTACTCTGCAGCAGACACAGAGCCTCTCTATGATCTAGAGCTCACATGGATCCCTTCTGTCGCAGCCAAGTTCCAGTTCTCTAAGCTCAGAAGGCCTCGTGAGCAAGTCTTCTCAAAGCACATGATCACCTCCCTGGAGACAATTTCTCCAAGGACAATGCTAAAGAAGAAGGTGCTCTATGCTCAGTATGTAGTAAGGAGGGAAGATGGCAACCTGTATACATTCACAGATGCTGACCTCCACAACCTCTGTGTGTTTGATGTCATCTACATGCACAAAATTCTCAACATCTACATGGAGAGGAGGTCAAGCTACTCAATATCGCTCAGAAGGCTGCTTGAGGTCATGCGCACACAAGTAAGACATTACAGCCAGAAGGACTTCGAGCTCGCGGTCAGGTTAGTCCAAAAAGATCTAAAGATCTCCCTTCCATACAGCAGGCCTGGTTGGATACTTAGGTATCATCCAAACTCCATTATTCACAACCCCACTTTTGGGTTTGTGTATTTGGATAAGGATGAAATCCTAAGGTTCTATGATCCAACAGAATCACACAAATACTCAACAGAGACGCTAGAATGGATTTACAGAAGAGCAGCGACAGAAGTGGACAAAGGACATCTAAGGTTGAGCGAAGTGTCTCGCATCTTGGAGGCGATCAAAATGCAAATCAA